GGGTATAGCTAGGTCTGCTACTTCTAAAATAGAGCTTATATGAGCAATGAATAATGAAGAGGGAAAGTGTGCTCCTTCAACATTCAGCTGCAGGTGAGCTTTTTCTCATGCAGAAAATAGACCTGCCTGGAAAAAACAGAAGACTTCTTTTAGGGGAAGAGAGCCTGCCATGATCCCTGCTTACAATGTTTCCTTTCATTGTTATGAATCTAAATGTAGTCGTCCCGATTTGCATTTTGCTAGAGCCCCCGTTATGGTGAGAGATATTAAGACAACCAACAGGCGGCATGCAGCTGGATTAAAGTCAGATTCTGATAGAAGGAACAAAAAAAAAAGAAGGAACAGGTGATCAAAGGGAATTATTTTTGAAGAGGCACAAATAACCATGAAAAACGAACGCATATATATATATGCAGTTTTCCTGCTGCTCTGTCTTTCCCAGGTAAGGGGATTGAGCTGTTCTATGTATCAAAGTGACTGACAAGGCAAGGACAAGGTCTGGATGCTTCCTCTAATTTCCCAGTTTTTCCACATGTCAGTTCTGAAGATGGATGAGCGCAGTGGCCTCCATGCTTTTCATCCAGAATACAATTATAGTGTCCACTGACATCTCCTGCTCTCACTGCCGTGATTGCGAACAGGCCGGTACAGTGGTGTGACGCGAGTTTGGGGCCGTCTGCTAATGCTGCATGCTGGGCTACAACCGCTAATATCACTCTCATAGAAAGGGAATCTCCACTTGTGTAAAATAAAAAGACAATCCATGCACCTTAAACAATCTGAATGAAATTCAGTACAGTTTTATAACATTTAGAAGGTAAAAGAAGGCAAAAATACTATACAATGTACAGGTGTTAAATTGAATCGGGATGCATGAGAGAGTAGTTTTCCTTTGACTTATTTTGCAGTATTACAAAGTCTGGAAACATCTCTATGAATATATGCATGTCTTTATATGTAAGGACAGGCCCTTTGTTTCTGTACTGCATGAAGTAATAGTACAGAAGTCAGCAAAATGTACTTACTGCATCAAAGGAAAATAAGATATTCTACAGAGAGCTTGGTGACTGATATATTATCATACTCTACACTCTCTTACAGAATATAAAGTACCATATTGTTCCTTCAGCGGTACAATGGCTTGTCACTAGGGCTGTATCCCCCTAAGGTACTCCTTTTCTACCCTTGACAGGCTGTTTGTATCTCACAGAAACCGATCTTAAAGCTCCGGTGTCAATTTTGCACCTTAATGCTACAGCACAAAAATGAACCTGGATACAGGAGTGTGCATTCTATTCTTCTTTTGTATATATCATTCTTTAATCAATACTCATTCAGATTCTTGGAAACGAACTCACAGCTGTATAGCACTTTCCTTGTCTTATACAGCACTCAAAGCTTTATCACATGTGCAACTACAGCCAACTTAAACTATTTAGCATAACATGGATGTCATTGGACAGACACATGGATAAACACCACTTGGCACAGGGAAAACACTAACTTCTATCTAACTTAAATGAATAAGAAAACTGGAAAGCCATAAAATCTCCAAGTACAAAATGTTTTGTAATTTCTGCCTGGGAAAAGTACAGGAGTTACCTTGAACTCTGGTCACTAGGGTACATTTGTATAGAAACTGGACAGAAACTGACTTTTGCTGTACCCTTATTTCTAAGAGTGCTTATCAGGTTACTTAATTGTTAATATTGTGTGTCAAAAGTACTAGTACTATTTTAGCCCGGTGACACCCTCCAAAGAGTTAAAAGATAAATCTGAGACGTAGGGATGGGTACTGGTATCCGGTGCCATACATAAACGGTAGTAACCAGACCGAAAAGCAGCGCACATTTTGGTGCTTTATTTCTGTGCTTTTTTTCCCTGAGATGTCATACACTTTGGATTCTAGCCAATCCTTTTACCTTTCCAAGGATAGTAGGCGGGCCCAGGTACGTACGTTCTTTTAGAGCAGAGCTATAAATTAAAAATGCCCAAGGTGAAGCCGTCAAAAGTCTTGCTGTACTTCACAGCAAAAGATGCAAACTCAGCAGCCTGCCACAAGTGCTTTAAGGTGATACTGTGCAAAGGAGGTAACACCTCGAATCTGATGAAGTTAAACTTTGATCACAAGCTAAAAAGGTCAAACACCACAGGTATCATATAGTTTTTGAGATTCATTAGAAATCTTAGCCAGATGACTCCACAGGCTCATCACAGTGTGGCAATATCCACATTATGGAAGAGTGTCTCTATCCCACTTACAGCTTCGGTATGAGAAACAGGGCAATCCTTCTGTTCATGATAAGAGGTCAAATGAAAGAAAATGTCTGAAATGCAAGAATACCAATCAGGTAGGTGCGGGTTGTCTCTGTTCCAAATTGACTATTTTATTTCAGTTTATGATAGCTCACATACAGCCCATATTCTGAAACAATGATTCTCTAGATATCAATTATTGTTTCCATTTAAATGTTAATTAACTGGGCACCCTGCAAGATTTATTCATGTTTTCCAATAAAAATTGACCTTCAAGTACTCAAGGTATAGTTTAAATTGGACCTTTTCATTTCATCTCAATATTCATTTATCTTTTTCTAATCTTCCATTTCCATCACTGGAAAGTTATTAGATTGGTTAATTAGTCTAATTCCTTGCTTTACTTAGACTAATTTAATTACTGCATTTTGGGGTGATTTCCCACCTATAGTTTATTTATTCTGGTCCGAATAGTTGATGGGTTTGCAAACTTGTGGCTTTTCCCCATGGTTTGTTGTGTTTTTACACAGTGAAAAATCCAAGTGTACCCCAAGCAAATAAAAATGCGTCACTACACATCAAGTTAGACTATTCAGTTCTTTTATTGCAGAAGCGTCTGGGGCAGGAGCAATAAAAGTAAATACTGGAAGAAGGTGTTGTACCTGCAATATAGGAGAACATGGAGAATTTAGGTTCATTTCACAGCTAGTTGCTAGACCATAGAGACCTTTTCGCATCTATAGTACCCTGCTGCATTACATTAAAGCATATGTGGCTATGGGAAGTTTTGGGAACTGCACCGAGACCACCTCCTCAAAAGGGTCTCGGTGCACTTGCTCAAATGCGATTACCGTGTTAAATGGACTAAACACAGCAGGTATGAAAACACCCTTAATAAAAGATACAAAAGCAGGTCCATCACCATGCTTTCACCTTCTCGTGTTAATGTTGTGAATTTAATTACGGTGATGCTTCCCAACAAAAAGGTAAAGTAATAAGATAGGAAAAATGACATCAGTAAGTCCCATCAGCGTGTGCCCCTAAAGCATCAAAGTTCTTTTGGCCTCATGGCAATCTTAGTTTCCCTCTAAAAAGCCTCCTGAGTGGCTCAGAAGCAGCTGTGCTCCATTTCTGAGTCCTAGCAAAGGAACATCAAGGAGATGCATTTTGGAGATGCTGCTCCACTGATATCCATTATTTCTGCTGTTAGGTAAAAG